GTGTGTGTGATTGCCACATTGAGAATGTTGTATAGGCTCACCCCTTCATTTATGTGTATGTATGATCCGCATTGTGTTGGATTTATTGATTTTTATTGGACAAATAATAATAATAAAAAAATGCTCCAATCCATTTCCTATGTGTGCCCATTTTTGTCCACGAAGGACAAATTAAGGGTTTTTTTCAACCACTAAACTGTTGAATCGAGTCCATTTTTTTACTTTTCACTTAGGAAAAGTAGCCAAGTCTTTTACTGCTAAAAATTATTTTGCCCAAAGGATGCTTGAGGGTTAAAACAAAGCCCATAACTACAGCAAAAAAAGCTGTAAAATACATCAAGACATCATCATTTCGACATTCACATCTATTGGTATGAATCAAAGAAATAAACATGTAATTCAAATAAGGATGGTTAAGTTGATGACCTGTTACACAACCTGCCAGAAACTGCAGACTGCTTTGCTTTGCTGTGTATTTGTATGAAGGCGTGGGTCACAACCCAGCTATTTCACAGCTGCGTTTGAACGTCTGTGTCACGATGCATGCTCTGCCGACAGATAAGTGTGCATGTGTTGGCTGTGGGCAGCTCTTTGTAAGCCACTATAGGTAAAGGTGAATTAATTTAAATATAGGGAATATAACAAGAGGGTGTAAAACGAAACGAGTCATTTTGCAATATGCAAATGTTGAGCCGGTCATGCAAATTGGGAAATCATAAACACAGAACTGCTGTGAAAAAACTAAAATACTATTCCGACCTTGCAGAAAGACGATTCATAACTTAAAAAAATACTAAATACTAAAATACACACTAAAACAGCTACAATGTGAAAAAATGCTTTGCATTGCCACTGTGCTGCCGCACAAAAATTTAATTTTAATAATATTTAAATTAGTAAATTAATTTTTTATTAATTAATTAATTTAAATTAATAATTTACTAATTATTAATTATAATTTATTAAAATAAAATTATTATTTTTAAGATAAACTATTTGAAAAATCAATGTTATACACCGCATGCATAATTATTAGGCATGTTGATATTCTGATGATATTCTTTTTCCAAGCACATTTGACCAATTCCAAACCACATCAATCTTAATAACTACTATTAATTTAGTATTTAATCAAGTGATATATAATTGTCCATGAAGTCCGGAAGTGAAACACTCCTTATATTCAGGTGTGCAGAACTATTAGGCATGTCATAAAATGAGCCAAAAAAGAGGTTTAACTCAGACTGAAAAGTCAAAAATGATTAAATCCCCATGAGAAATATTCAAAACTAATTCAATAGTTTGAAAAAGTTTAAAAATCAATATTCAAAACTAATGCAATAGAGAAATTGCAAAGTTAAGACGTGACCATTGGACAGCGAAATGCTCAGTGGGTCAGCGGGGTCAGAAAAAAACAGGTGGAGCAGAAAAGACACACGTTAAATGCCAGCTTTTGTCTTCTCCAGATGTTAACTGATGGACTGGAGTGCTGTGGATTACTTGTGGATTATTGTGATGTTTTTATCAGCTGTTTGGACTCTCATTCTGACGGCACCCATTCACTGCAGAGCATCCATTGCTGAGACACTGATGCAGTGCTACATTTCTACAAACCTGAAACAAACTCATCCTAAAAATCATTTTTGAAAAACTATTCCTTTAAAGAATCTTGAAAAAAATGTATCACTGTTTCCACAAAAAATATGGAGCAGCACAAATGTTTTCAACATCGATAATAATAAGAAATGAGCATATCAGAATTATTTCTGAAGCATCAAGCGACACCAAAGACGTTACCGTTACAGGAATGAATTGCATTTCAAAATATATTAAAATTTGAATTTGTATTAATATTCCTGTTTTTGCTCCATTTTTAATCAAATAAATGCAGCCTTGCTGAGCAAAGAGACTTCTTTTAAAAACATTTAAACAATCTTGCTGACCCCAAATAGCAGTGTAAACATAAAAGGTTATTCCACAACATGCCATGCGTCTCTACAAATAAAGACCACCCCAGTTCTGTAGGAAAGTGTGCATCTGCTCATCTGGCCACCCTCTCTTTATTCGAACCATAAGACTTTTAGCATAAATCACCATCTTCTGCTGGCCTTTGACCTCTGACCTCTAAGTAATCACCTTAGCTCCACTGGAGAACAAACACATCGCCTCGCAGACAAACCTGACCTGTGCTTCTGTTTGAGACGGTGTGTGTCTGCTGTTGTTTACAGCAGCTGTGTGTGTGACATGTGGCCTATAACTGGTGCAGGGTGAAGATGCATGCCATGTGTGACACTGAGGTCACTGGGACAGAAGTAACGGTTTCACACGATACAGGTGTGTGACATTTCACATGACAGCCATTCACCCCAGAAGCTGGGTTTCTGAAGGGCATTTCACTATTAGGCATGTCATAAAATGAGCCAAAAAAGAGGTTTAACTCAGACTGAAAAGTCAAAAATGATTAAATCCCCATGAGAAATATTCAAAACTAATGCAATAGTTTGAAAAAGTTTAAAAATCAATATTCAAAACTAATGCAATCGAGAAATTGCAAAGTTAAGACGTGACCATTGGACAGCGAAATGCTCAGTGGGTCAGCGGGGTCAGAAAAAAACAGGTGGAGCAGAAAAGACACACGTTAAATGCAAAAGAATTAAGAATTAATGTTAAGAATTAGGTGTGAAACCATCAGGAAACATTTAGTCTCCAGCACCAGTATTTTCCTGGAGTCTCCAGAAGTACAAGGTGTCAGGTTCTCAGAGACTTTGCTTGGGTAAAAAATCATTAAAAATGACCCTCACTTAATTAGAATAACATGCTGAAGTATTGTGGAATATATTAAGACAAATGTTTTATAGGCTTTATGGACCGATACGTTTCGAGTGACTCTTAAAAGGACCAGCACACATCCTCTTGCACCACTGTTTGAAGAATTTATCTTCCAGAATCTGACAGCAAGTTTCAGGAGCTCATTTTTACTCAATTCTGTGAGACAGACCTTTCAGGATACGGGGTGGAAGCAGAGCATCCATTGCTGAGACACTGATGCAGTGCTACATTTCTACAAACCTGAAACAAACTCATCCTAAAAATCATTTTTGAAAAACTATTCCTTTAAAGAATCTTGAAAAAAATGTATCACTGTTTCCACAAAAAATATGGAGCAGCACAAATGTTTTCAACATCGATAATAATAAGAA